GGGCCCCATCACACTGGTTTACCCAGGGGCCCCATCACACTGGTTTACCCAGGGGCCCCATCACACTGGTTTACCCAGGGGCCCCATCACACTGGTTTACCCAGGGGCCCCATCACACTGGTTTACCCAGGGGCCCCATCACACTGGTTTACCCAGGGGCCCCCATCACACTGGTTTACCCAGGGGCCCCATCACACTGGTTTACCCAGGGGCCCCACATTGCCAATAAGACGGTCCTGTCAGTGACATGTACGCTTTAACTATTTGTTGAACACTTCTTCTTCTTCTGCCTTTCTATCCCCCAATGGAGCATAGGTCCTCAACCAACTCACGCCAAGTCGTTCTATTCTTCGCCATTGCATGGAGCTCTCCCCATGTCCTCCCTATCTTTCTAACTTCATTCTCCAGCTCTCTTCTCCTTGTCTTTTCCTCACCTCCTGGTCCACTGGAGCCTGTTTAGTTCTCTCCCAAAGTTCTACATTAGCTATTCTATCAAACCATTTAATTCCCTCTATTCTGCGCAGGCACCAGTTAATGAATGTCTGTAGTTTATTAGTAATTGCCTTAGTTGTTCTCCATGTTTCCGCCCCATACAATAGTACTGATTTGACATTAGAATTAAACATTTTTAGTTTAGTATTTCTTTTAATTTCTTTTGACCTCCACAAATTCCCTAGTGCTATGAAAGCCCCTCTTGCCTTTTGTATTCTTATTTTAATATCTCTATCAGTTCCTCCATCTTTATCTACATCTACATTTGGTGAAATGTTCACTATTATTTTTAATATATCAATATATTTATTTGCATTTATAACATTATTAAGTATTTTTTATTGTGCACCTAAACAGGGCTTAAGCGGCGGTGGCGCCCCCCCCCCCCCTCTTCCGTGGGACCTTCCGTCTTTGGGCAAAATTTCTTGGTGGTGGCACGAAAGTTAACCCCCCCCCCCCCCTTTCCCCACCACCACCACCACCACCCCATCGCTTCCTGTCATCCTAATGCTGTTTTATATACATACAAAAATTTTTTTAAATTTATTTTTCAATGTAAAAAAAAAAAAAAACTCTGCTAGGACACCTGTAAATTACCATATTTATATTGTATAGTCGTTTTCTTTCATTTTGACCGTGTCTTTTCACCTCACTTCCTAGCAACATTTCATATTCATGCCATTCTAACATATAATTTATGACTTCGCCTAACGCTACGGGACATCACAACAGATAGTCACTAAGGCAGACAAATCCGTTAACCGCATACCTACCTACCTATATTCAGTTACGCAATATCAGTGACATGAATTATCAGCTGTCAATAAGTTAAAAGTTCGATGTTTACAGAATAAAAAACAAAAGATAACAGTTTTGAACCTTCAAATAGAAATTGTGACATAACGATAACATGGCCTTGATAAGATAAAATATGCATACATTTAATCTGGCGTGGAGGAATGCAAATGGTTTATGATTGTACCTTCAACAACTTCTTCTGTTATGTAATGGGGTAAATAGGCCCAGTTTTCAGTTTGTGGGTGAAACCAAAATTCTCATTAAAAACATTTTCTATGTTGGTTTTACACGAGTTGTGGATCAATGCGTATGTGTGTTTGTTCGATTGCAGTGTAAAGGTAATGGAGGTTTTTGTGATTATAATCTTAGTTGCCTTTCCTTTACAAGACGTACAGGGCGCTGCGTGGTCTCAAGGCATGGTATACGCCTCGAGTGCTAGAGGCTCCGTGCTCAATCCCAGGTAAGGGTTGGAATTTGTTCACGTGGACTTGGTCTTCTAGTAATTCCCCCTGGTCTCTGGGTAGTGAGATCGGACGCCCGTGAGCATTGTTGCGCACGTAAAAAATCCCTTGGCTGTTGGAAATCGAAAAGAGTAGCATAACGGCGCTGCCTGTGCAAAATGAGGAGTTTAAAATCTACCCGAAGTATTTCAGTATCCTCGCCGGAGCTACAGAGCCTGTGCACTGTGCTGAGCTTCTTCGGTCTCAGACTTAGGTTAAAAGAAAAACGGAGCACTTATGGGTCACTACCCGTGTGCCATGATGCTGATCTGTTGTTAAAAACCTCAGACCTCATACAAGACGTGCAGAAAATGAAAAGGGGGACAGATTGGCTGGCTCTGCTCACTTTGATGGAATACCGATGCACGATAAGGCAGACGTGCTTAAGGCCTTATAGGAGCATGTGTACAGTTCGGAACAGAAAATGACCAGCACAGTATGGTGAGATTGATGCAATGAGGAGTGACGGGTGGGGGAGGGGGGGATGATCTGACCGATACTCGACGCTCAGAGGAAAGGCAAGACGGACGTATAGTCAAACTGCTACTGGCACGATTGGAACTCTGAGCAGGCTGCTGAACTTGCGGACGGAGCGCTTATGTGAATGTCCCGAGTGCTGAGATGTTGAGTCTTGAATCAGTTCAACTCTACAGGAGGTTGCAGAATCAACCCAGCATTTTTTGGCTGACTGATTTTACTAGACAATTTTACGTTTATTAGTTTGCCGTTGGTCGTGATTTCGACTCCCAGGGTAACCTTGTTTTTTTTTCCTTAAAGGAAAAGCCATGTATATCAAATACACATACAGACGTCGAGAAGGGCCCTTTACTCCCCCCTCCCCCTTTAAATCTTTTTTTTTTTTTTTTTTTTTTTTTTTTAGTTTTTTGCTGGCCCACATGTGGTGGTACACCAGGACCGAGGTTCTTACTGGTCAAGACCTGCCTACACATCTCCGTGATCATCCTAGAAACAGATCCCCAACCGGCAGTCCAACCAGTGTAGATATAGTATCAACGTTTCATCCCAAGTCTGGGTGCAGCTGTCGGAGAGGGGAAGAACCAACAGTCTGCATACACAAATAAGCATGGCCAGATTTAAACTTGATAAGGCCTTTAGATATATGAGGAATGAGGCCCCAACTGCTTTAAAATACCTAATCGGATCTGCGGGTTTTTTCTTCAATAATGACCTTGACTCCCAGCCTTGAGTGGGTACCAGGTGCAGTCCTGGGAAGTAAAGGCGACCATAGTGATGGTGACCACACCACCCACAAATTGCCTATGGTCTATAACAATATCAGTCTATCCCTATATGCCCAATACGTCTAAAGGCGTGGAAAAGGGCCCTTTACTTGCTTTGGTGAGCTATAGTTTAGTTACCTAATGCCGAAATCCAGCACGACATACAAGCCACATCTGTAAAACGGCTGTGCGGGCACTGCTGAAATCCTCGAACAAAGTAAAACACCAGAGTGGGCGAAAAACCAGAAAATTCCGCCAAAGCTTACAACCGGTAAACTCTTATTTGAAAAAAAAGAAAAAGATTTACATTAAAAAAAAAAAAAAAAAGCAAAGGTCGCTTTCCATACTATCTTTTAACTGCCATAATGACGTCATCGTGATTGTCTGCGTCGCGATGTCACGTGTTTAACACTCTTGACATCCTTAACAACAATATCCACAGATTACAAGAGAATTATATGGTTATTTTAAGTTCTATCACAGTTTTGATAATTTTTTTTTTTTTTTTTAAAGCGTTCTCGAGACAAAGAGATTCAGTCACAACCGGGGAAGAGAAGATTAATGCGAGAAAGCCGGCACAAAGAAAATATTGGGTGGGGAGGGGTTCAACTCTTTATATATTTTCTGGGGGAGCCTGAGTGGTCTCCAGGTATGGTGTCCGCCTCGAATGCTGGCGGTCCCGGTTTCAAGCCCCGGTGAAGGCTGGGATTTTATTCACATAGACTTCTGGTAATTTCGCCTGGTCTCTGGGCAGTAAGATCGGACCCCCGTGTGTATTCTTGCACACGTAATCGTGCACTGCGCTGAGGTGCTTCAGCCTCAGGCTTGAGTTAGAAGTAGAACGGAGGACTTTTCGGTTTACACCAATGTGCCATGATGTTAGCGGCCTCCGTGGCTTAGGCGTTGCGAGTCCGACTCGAAATTCCAACGTACCGCGATCGAAACCCACTACTGGCTGCGTGGATTTGTATCATGGTATGGAGCGTCGCAGGTCGACCCAGCCTAAAATGGGTACCAGGATGGGCTGTCCTGTGGAAGTAAAGACGGCCGGCGTAATGCTGACCACATTACCCAGCCAGTACCGATGGTCTGTAAAAATATGGGCGCTCTTTCCGTATACCCGATACGCCTGAAGGGGTAAAAAGGGATCTTTACCCTTTTTTTTTTTTAAACTTTACTTTTTCCAAGCAATTCCAGGGAAATTTGACTAAAAAGCTTAACCAAATGGGGAGGCAGAAAAAAAAAAGTCAACTTTCCCTGGAATTCCTTGTATTAGCTATTATGACTGCAGTCACTCCCATATTTGCCATGATGTTGGTTCGTCGAATACACATACTAAACATATTTTTGGGACAGTGAGACGTGGCACAAAGTATTGTTTAAATGTGCAATACTAATAGTTATTATTATTATTATTATTGTGTTCTCAGCGGTAAATAAATATATGGTAATATATTTGAAATACTATAAAGAATTTGAAAAAATATACAAAGAGAAAATATGTACAAACTTTTGGGTGGTGGGACACTTATCTCTTTGTAACTGTTTAAGGGGGCAAGGGATTGGGTCCGGTAATCTTGAAATGGGGGGGGGGGGGGGGGCGCTCAATGTAAATGAGCCTCCAGTTTTCGACGCCGCTGGGTGAGTAACTGGATCAACAAAAAAGAAGTTCAGAAACGTATTTCATGTCAGTTAAAATCAACAGAAGCTTGATGAATTCTTTAGCACTGCGACATGTAATGCTATTTCTGCATTTTGCATTTGTTAGTTTATTGTGTGTTGCTGATAAAGGCGTTGTGCCGCAACTTCCTGTGTTCAGAGTTTGTGATTTTATTTCTGTAAAGCTAGCATTGTAAACTTCGTATTTTTTTGCTATGTCTGTAAGGTAACGCTGACTTTGCAGTTTTAATATGAACAACGTCAGCACGAAAAGTAAACAGTTATTCCTGAATCAAAACAACAAATTACCATGGTCTCACTGCTAACGAGTGTTGCTCCGTTGATGCTGTGTGTTGCCATAGTTTGCCAGCATCAGCAAGAAGGTAGGCTCAGTGGTGATGACTTTATTGTTAGACTTTTATATTAAAACGTTGAACAATAAACAAACAAACTGGAAAACATACTCGCGACGCATAACGCACCCAGAAAACGAACAACAGCTACCAAAATTGTGCTATCAATGCCAGAGTTGGGCATTATCAAAGGCTAACCTGCGTGAAATTAACACCTGTGAAATGAGATGCGTGAAAAAAAACCCGCCAACTTAACCATGCGAAACAAAGTGAGAAATGATATTAACAGACATACTGTAGGAACAAGACCATGTGACAAATTCTTTGAGAAACAGAAGATCGAATGGTTTGGTCATGTAGTAAGAATGGAGCCAGAAAAACAACCAATGCAAAATGGGGCCCTGGAACCCCCACGGTAAGGGAACTTATACTAAGTGTAGGCCCCTTGAAGCTCCCACCATCCCCGCCCCTTTTTTTTTTTTTTTCATTTCCTCCCAATGTTTTATTTGTCTCGGTGGCCTGGTAACCAGCCTTTATTGTGGATTCAGTACCTGACTGATGGAAGGATTGGGATTCAGCTAGGCTGAGCAATGCTGGTTAGAACAGGAGTCAGTTTCATGTCCGAACGGCGTGGAAGAATAAATAGCCTACGATAGAATAGAATGGCAAATGCCTGAGGAAAATGATGAATATAAAATAAAATGAATTCAATCATCATCATCAGTTCTCGTTATGCCTAGTGGCGCATAAGGCTTCAGAGAGGACTTTCCATGCTTTCCTGTCGTGTGCAATCTTTAGTGCAGTTTTCCATGTCAGAGATGCCGCACTCGGGTCACTTTCCATCGTTCGTCTCCATGTTGTTTTTGGGCGCCCTGTTTTCTCTTTCCCTCTGGTGTCCATGTGAGAGCTGTTTAGGCAAGTATATCAGGATTCATTATCATAACGTGGCCAAGCCATTTCCATCTTCTCTTGGTTATCATACTGTCTAAAGTTTCTTGGTTTGTGACTTGAAATAGTTTAGTGTTTGAGATTGTATGTGGCCAGAAAATTTTTATAATTCTACGTAGACATGTGTGGTGGAAGGTGGATAGCTTGTTGCATCCTTTTTGGTCATTCTCGAGCATTCTGCTCCATAAAGAAGAACTGGCAAAATGATGCTCTTGTAGAGTCGGAGTTTCGTCCCTCTGCAATAACTGTCGGATTTCCAGATTTGCCTCATCCTTCCAAAAGCAGCTCTAGCTTTGTTCAGACGTGACTGTATGTCTTCTTCTGTCCCTCCACCACACTTCCAAGATATGTAAAATGTTCTACATTTTCAAGTGTTTGGTTATTTATGGTCACTGGTTGTTGGTTTGGACTGTTTGTCATTATCTTAGTTTTCCTTGTCTCTATTCTCAGTCCCACCATTTATGCTGTGCTGTGTAGTCTGTTACTTTTTTTCTCTTGTATATGTTCATGTTTATGTGATAGGAGTGCTATATCATCTGCAAAATCAAGGTCCTCAAGCATGGTGAATGGAGTATCGTATGCCTCTTAATGTCCTGTCTACTGTGTTCTTTAGTATCCGAGCAATCACACGGTTGAAGAAGAGAGATGACATAACATATCCCTGTCTTACACCTGTCTTTATTGGAAAAGATGTGTTGTAATTTTTAATATTGCAGGAAAAGTCTTTATAGAAGAGAGCAATTATGTTGACTATCTTTTCTGAAATTACATAATGTCGTAATATATTCCAGAGATTGTCAAAAGCTTTCTCATAGTCCACAAAATTAATATATATACTTCTCTGCCATTCGGTAGTGGACGAGCAACCAGAACTTTCCGCCAGAGTGTACAGCTGGTGAACGCGAAGAAGAAGAAGATTACATAGTTCTAAAATGTTACGTGGTGTACAGATGTGCTCAGCTGTTCCTCTGCCCTTTCTGAATCCTGCTTGTTCCCCGTAAAGAAATCAGAGAAATGTCTGGGCAACCACTAGTGTCAGCTTTTGTGAGACAGAGAGAGATTGGCGCTATATTGGACATATCCTGGAAAGAGGCGAACAATCATCAAAATAGACAATGAAATAGGAAATAGATGGATTGAGGAAAGGAGGATATTCTCCACTCCCCACACACACAGAAACCCCAAAGGTGAACGTTGACGAGAGAAGCCAAGGAAGTTGAACTGGATTCCAGCTGTGATATAGAAGCGATTGCCCAGGATAAAACGTAATGAAGGAATGTGCTGCGAGCCCTGTGTGACACATAATGTCACAACAAAGCAACGAATGAATGAGTGAATAAAGTGAGGGAGGAATTGACCAACAGCCCTATGTGACCAGTTAACACAAAAACAGGATAATGAATTAATCGGTTATTAAAACAACACTGTAAATGTCAATTGTAGATCTAGTGACGCGATTATAACTATGTCCATTTATGGGACGCAATTTTTAAAGATTTTTAAAATATTACATAAAAACCCCACTGGGTTGTTTTCGGGGACCCTAACATAACTGTTGACTGGAGTTTCTTGGACTTAAGTCCGGGGGCGTCTTATCCGAAAAGTGGCACTTTGTGTCACCGGGTGTTAATTGCTTGTTGTAGGGTCCTAGTGAGATTGAACGTTTCTCACTCACTATTTGACACCATTAAAACGGCGTTTTAGTGTGTGTTTTTAAAATAAGTTTGTTCATAGGTTTTTAAAATAAGCATCATTCTACGACAAGTCCAGCAAAGCGGTAGGGGGTGTATTTATTCAACTGTTATTGCTTAAGTAGTTGGCTCTGTAGCTAAGTCGATGCAAACGCTTCGTAATGCCGGGATGCCAGGATCGATCCCAGCTGCTCCTTGCGTTGGTTTCGACAGTGGTATCAAGAAAGCCGACCGTCCAGAGGCAATGGCAAACTACTGGACGTAAATTTGCCTAGAAAAACTACACAACAGCCAGGGACTGATGGGGTTGGTTCTACAACGTCCTGTAAAGGATACGCAACTAACCCAACCTATTGCCTAAGTATTATGGAGGAAATAATAGTAGAAATTGATGATAATGATGATGATAATAAAATATATGTATTCGTGTGGTTTTGTTTGATTTATGTTTGTGCTGACGAAGCATCGTCTGGTCTTTATTTCTTGTCTCCCACTTCTACGATATCAAATTTCATCGTCGCACAGACAGCTGTTTACATACAAATAAGCTAGATCTGTAAAACGGGTGTGCACGTAAAACAAGTCCTGGAACAAAACCAAAGTCCAGAAGTAGACGAAACACCAGAACTTTCTGCCGGATTTTATCACAGACGATCTGAAGACGATCTGTGAAATGATTTCTAATAGTTTTAATGTTTGAAATGAAATTTTATTAAATGAAATTTTTTTTAATGAAATGTTTTTAAATGAAATTTTTTTGAATAAAACGTTTACGCTCGATGATAGGTGTAACAAGTAAAGATAACTTAGGAACAATGATACCAGGAGGAGAGTCGGCACCGAACCAATGCTGAACTCTATCGGTAGACAACAGGTCAAATGGTTTGGCCATGTAACAGGATTAGGATCAGACAGGGCACCACCAAGAGCAATCTTATGCAGATACAGCGGTAACAGAGCCAGAGGTCGACCACGCAGACGATAGACCGCAGAAATATCGGAGACACTAAAAAATACTTAACACGCAGCGAACAGAAGGGCCTGTTCCAGAGATTTTATCCTGCCCTGACACTGTGATGTATTCCAGGGGTTGGAGAAAGACGAAGAGGAAGAAGAGGAGGAGAAGAAGGAGGAGAAGGATAATTTAAATATACAATTACATGTAAGCACGTTTCTTCTCGGTATCAGGTGCAGTCCCGGGAAGTAGAGGCCGCGGGCGTGAGGCTGACTACATCACCCATCTTGTGCCGATTGGTCTATAAAATATAGGTCTAGCCCTATATGCCCTATACACCTAAAGGAGTGGAAAAGGGTCCTTTACTTTTTACTTCACTTACGTTTCTTCTCAGGACAGAATGATTGTCCTCTGACTTCCAACAAATGCGACCTGCCTTGTCTTAACACAACACACTGTATCTGTCCTCGTGGGTTCGAAGCCGTGTCAGGGGTTTGTAAAGGTAATCATTTCTCAATGGATTCATTTCTTTCTGTACAGACAACAAAAAATGTGTGAAGTATACATTCTGTCTGTTTCTCTGTTTGTCCCTCTGTCTGCTTTTACTGCGTCAGTCTGTCTGCTTGTCTGCCTGTATATATGTCTACCTGGCCGTCCGTCTGCATGTCCGCCTGTCTGTCTATACGTCTGTCCGTTTGTCTGTCTGCCTCTTCTTCCTTCTTTCCGCTATACTTCTTTATTACTATCTCACCTTTCTTCTTCATTTGTTTTTCATGTTTGCCTTTGCTTTAAAGATAATGCCGTATTAGCAACCATGTTTGACGGCGATTTTTATGATGATTTTTATTATGACAACGACTACTACGATTATTGTTATTATAAAACAATGATGATAATGATAATTAATGTTTTAATATTAAAGACAGCGACAATGATGGCAATTATTATATATTATTATTACGAGTATTATTCTTTGTATTTTTATTACGACGATGATGTCGATTATTATATTATTTTTATGATTATTATTATGAAAACGATGATGATGATAACGATTATTATTAAATTTGTTTATTTTTATCGCAGCTTTGATTGTTGTAACGATGGTAACATGATGTTTATTATTATTATTGTCATTGTTATTATTATTATTATTATTATTATTATTAACATCATTACTATATTTACTTATACTAATATTGTTATTCTTACTGAAGACTGTGATTATAAGAAAAGTTACGAGACTGTTAACAGGCAACAATAATGTTCCAGATATCGACGAGTGTGCCAGAAACATCGCAGACTGTGATCGGCTGTGCCACAACCACGCCGGAAACTTTTCTTGTAGCTGCGGCGACGGCTACCAGCTGGCCGAAAACGGAAGATCTTGCAGCTTCGGTGAGTGTGTCCTGCGTTTGTCAACCCTTTTCACATCTACGGCCCACCAAAACAGACGACAGTGTTTTGCGGCCCACCAGACAGTTAACCAAACACAGAAACATACACAAATGTTGACAGCAGTTCATTTGGTGAATCCGTTGAAATAAAATAATAAATTTTTGCATCTGATCCTGCGTAGAGGTTAGTAAAGCTTTTACACCTGGTTAGAGCCTTGTTTCTGATAGAAAAAGCGCTGCAGTAGCATCCGTTGTTTATATCTGTTTGGTTTTTATTATTGACATGACTGAGACATTCTTTTCCCACAAATATAAAGCCGAGAAAATGACCAACACAATCTGATAGCTCTATAACTCAGAGAAAAACATTCTTCTCTTGTTGCATGATTAGGCGGACATTTTTTGGGGCCCGCGTGAACTTTTTTCGCGGCCCTCTAGGCGGCCGCGGGCCATGGGTTAAAGTATATACACAGAGTTAGACTATGCAACAGCAGTTGCTTGACTGTCAACCTACAACGTGGGGGAAAGGATCAAGCTACTTGCCTAGCGCTTCTGAAGGGCATGTGTTTGTCGCGAGAAGGTCGTTCAGCTCAAGAGCTCAGTTTTTACGGAGATCACAGGGATCGTCGTCGGAGATGCAGTGTTCGTAGTTTATGCTCTCGGCTGGCGGAAAGAGAGAGAGAGAGAGAGAGAGAGAGAGAGAGAGAGACCGGGGCGTATCGGATAAAACACAGCGCAATTAAGTTTACTTATGACTGTATACTTTAACCGCAGGTTTGGGATCCGGCATCGAGTCGAACACACACACACACACACACACACACGCGCACACACACATACGCACGCGCGCACACACACGCACGCAAGCACACGCACGCACACATACACACACACGCACGCACACACACACACACTGCAAGCACACGCACGACACACACACACACACACACATATATATATATACATATATATACATATATATATAATATATATATATTTTATATATATATATATATATATATATATATATAATATATATATATATATATACATATTACATACATACATATACATACACCGTAAAGTCAGTTAGAACTGTACCGAATATTCGCTTTGGATTCGCTTCGGGACCGAATAAATGCGGTCGGGCCGAATACGATTAGTAGTTACCTTACACCCGCTTCTGCGTACACGGCCTTAATGCTGACAACATGGAATGATTGGTTTTGTTGAAAGCTAATGCAGCTTTCATGCATTAACTAAGCTGTCAGTGACAATTTCCAAGTTTAGTTACTTGTAATAATACTTAGGATTCTTTCATTCCTAGTTATTAGTTACCACAGACTGACTGAAGGATGCAAAACATAAAATGTTTTTAAATGTTTACTATTCTGTACGAATACTAACTAGACATTTAAAGACTATAAACTCCGGCCACATCCAAGTCGATAATATGAAAATCAAACGAACGGAAACGTATAAGTACTTGGGTGCAAACTTTAACTGCTCCAACATGCTGAGAGAAGAAATATAATCTAGAATACAATCTAGAAATAAAGTATACTATGCCCTTCAAAAACTGCTAAAGTCAAAGTGTCCTTCTCGCAACACCAAGATCAAAATATATAAAACGTTGATAAGACCAGTCGTTTTATATGGCTGTGAAACTTGCAGCAGAAATAAAGATATGAGGCCGTATTACAGGTTTTCGAAAACAGTCTTACGACAAATCTTTGGACCCATCAAAGATGCTAACAGCGGGGAATGAAGAGTGAGAAGCAACAACGTAACACATAATCTGTTTAAATCACCATTGATCACTGGCATCATGAGAGCTAACATACTAAAATGGTTAGGGCATACTGAAAGAATGTCAGATGACAGAGAAGTAAAAACTGTATACACAAGGGAGATGAATGGTCGTAGACTACAAAGCAGACAAGAAAAAAAGTTCGAGAGATAATGCTCAGCCAGACCTGCAAACAACTGGTGTCACAAATTGTGAAGAGAAGGCCAGCCAGAGAGATGAATGGAGACGAGTGATATCTGCAGCAGTAAACCTCAAGGGCTCAGAATGCTAAGGAAGAAGATGACTATTCTGTGCTACTTTATGTGAAGTAAAAGTTCAGCGTACATTATGAATGGTTTTTGTTTTTGTTTTTTGTTTAGATATATTTTATACACTATACATTATTCGTATTCGGCCAAATAGTTGGTCCCGTTATATACATACATACGTTCGTACGTACATACATACATAAACACACACACACACACATACACACACACACCATATATATATATATATATATATATATATATATATACCTGGCTCCCAGGTCAGCCTGGCCTAAACTATGCTGCATGAGATATCGTGGGAAATAAATGTGGCCGGTGTGTTGCTGATCTAAGAAAATATGGCTCTAGTAATATATGCTAGGGGAGCTGTTGTGGTGTAGTAATTTG